ATAATAATAATAATAATAATAATATTCTACCTGTTCTACCTCAACTTTCCATCTTGTTTTAGTATTTTTTACTGTTCAATAAATGTTTCTTATTTTAAACTTGAGACCTGTAATATTTGTTATCATTGTGTCATTTTTTTTATGTAAATTGAGGGAGCAAAAGCAGTATCGGCCCCAAATATTGGCTCAAGAAAATCGGCAGTCCATAATCGGTCATCGGCTAAGGGTGATGGAAAAAAATCAGCATCAGCCCTAAAAAATCCATATCGGTCTATCCCTAATCATCACTTTGCACCCTTCAAACAAATGCATCCTCTGGCCAGATCAAGATCTTTATGACATTAGATGCTGGTGCTCATGGGAAATCTATTTTTCATCTCAGGAAACACCGTGTTTACTCAAAGGGGCCACCAAAACAAAATCCACACAAAAGTAAAGTTCCTTGCAGTTGCTTTAAAACAGTTTGTATGGTTTACATTTTCTCATTGAATTTGCCTTTGTCCTTTATTTCACTGTAACATCTGTAACATACCATGTGATGGTTGGTATCGGTGAGCCAAAGGAGGCGCAGTGAAGTAACGCAGGGTTGTTAGTGATGACCTGGTACACTCGGTTGGGTGGAGTGAGCACCCTTGGTGGCTCAGCTGTGGAAAGGAACAACATTAGCACTCACTGTTTCTCCCCCGTCACACACACTGCCCTGTATTTCCAAAATTTCCAATTAGCTTTTGTATATTTTCACCTAAACAGATAGTTTAACTCACCTAGAACGTTGACAAAAGCGTTTGCCATCAGGTAGCCAAATTCATTGGATGCATTACACTGGTAGACGGCACTGGACCCTGATTGGACATTGCTAAGAATTACAGTGTCATCCTCCACCTTTCGACTGTGGTCCTCGGGAGCATCTACAATATGAGGGATAGGATATTTGGTCAGAATCATAGAAAAAACAGAATTTTTCAGGTTCAAGTTGTGTAGTTAGAAACCAGCACATAACAATTTTGGAGCATTAAGTAAAACTATATAGAATACCATGAAGTGGAGTTAAATTCCCACTACAACTCTGGATGTTGATTTTTACTCTGTCAGGTGCTTTGGATATAAGTGTGCTTAAATGTAGTAGATTCTATAAAGCTTGGTCTCATTTTACTCACTCTCTATGGGGACTCCATTGACAAACCAGCTAATCTTGGGTTTGGGCTCTCCACTGACTCGACAAGTCAGGATGCCAGTCTCATTGGGGGCGAGGATCAGGTTCCTGGGAGCGCTGACCCAGAAAGGAGCCGCTGTGGATGACACAAGGAGGAGCGAGAACTTTGACAGACTGATGAAAGAAGAGCCTCCACTACTTTATGTGGTAGAATATTTAGGGATGCAGAAATATTTGTATCTATGTAACTGTATGATTAAAATGTGTCGGTTAAAGTGGAAATGGACAACTTTCCCCACCCAACAGGGTTTCCGAATGGTGTTGTTGCTGCCACTGTCGCAAATGGAAACAGATTGCTTTCCATTATCTTCAGTGCCTAGCAACTACCCACAGTTTGCACAGTTACTTTGGTTGTTGTAACCTAGAGCATTATACCTAGTCCAACCCTGCCATGCTGTGATTGGCCAGTACGGGTCACATTGAGGTTCGATGCGGTAAGGGTTAGGGCGGAGAACTCATGGTTGTGTTAGTAATAGCCTATCTAAGCACAATAGAGCAGGACAAAGTGGAACACTTATGGGAAAAAAATCACGTGTTCCACCGTCGGCAATTTACACTACTGGTGATAGTGACTGCAAAAAACTGATTTTCTTTGGTAAGTGGGGGGAGCTAACAGGCTAGCTATCGAAAACAAAAGCACCATCTTATCCCTGTTTTGGTTGCGCAAAGGTTGACTCAATTTGTTGTGTCGTAAATTGAGCCTTCATTCAGGCTCAGTCCAAAATTGCCTAAGAAACCTTCAATTCCCATTCCAAATAATACTTGATGCACTGACTGACACAAGAAATCCACTTGGTTAACCTGCATACCTTTGACAGTGACCTTGATGATGTGGTGTACAGTGCCCAGGTTGTTTGTGGCTGTACAGCGGTAGTCCCCACCATCAGCTTCATTCACCTCAGAAACCTTGAGTGTTTTCTTGAAGTTAAAAAAGGACGTCCTGCTGCCTGGCAGCTCTCCTCCATCCTTCTGCCAGGAGATCTCTGGAGTGGGCCTGTCCCAGAAACAATCACAACATTTTGTTTCCGCATTTCAGTTTTTGTTCTGTCAGATACTTTTATGAATACCCAAAGCACATGCTGCTACGAAGATGCATCCTTACAGGCCCTCGGCGATGCATTCGAGCTCCAGAGTCTCCCCTTTCAGAACCATCTTGGTGCTGGTGGTGCCCAGAGGCAACATGAAACCGGGGCGACGCTCCCCCTCTGGGCTGTCTGAACACGAAGGGACACACAACCAAATCAGAACCAGACTGCAACAATAAGACATGAAGGCCAGGAACTCAGACTGTCATTCATATTCTCATGAAGGAAATAGGCAGCAGAAACACACTATGAAGAGTCATGAAAGTGGTTTGTCAAAGTGAACAGAAGGGACACTAAATGAGTTAGTGATGACCCAACACAATGTGCGTTTTCTTTTTTTTTTTTTTCTGTAGGACTTGTTGCTAAGCTGTATGAGCACTATCTCAGAATCTGAGAGGAGTAGCCCTCGGTTTGTTGCTATGGCAACACAGGGGTCTCATCATGGTGGAAAGCAACCCCCTGGGGCGCGCACACACATCCCTCAGAAGTTCAGAAGATCTTGGTTTCTTCAACATTTATTTGCCGAAAGGGTCGGAAAATAGATAACAAATCATCTTTCCTCTATGCCAGAAGACGAATATCATGCTGCTTATGTGGCCATCTTGGACTATCACTGAGTGTGCTTGATGTAGCAGATCATGAGATCAGTCCTAAGTATATTTATGATAGCTGACAGCATGCTTTGAAGGCTGCTCAGAACATCTTGGGCTTGAACATGTTATCATATACAGAAGGGAACATGGATATGGCTGTTTGGCCGAGAGAGAACCTTGAGGAAGTGCTTGTTAATAAAGTCACAGAGGAGAGGACTGAGGCCAAGTGTGAGGTGAGCGTGTGTGCTGGGTATGGTTAAGGCCGAGGAGTAACAACAGGGCTGGGTTCACACTGAGGGGGGGCTTAATGGAAATAAACCAGCAGAACTCACCAATAAAGAAATCAGTGAAATTGTACAAAGCAGCCACAGTCTCATTCATTGTTTCCACTGTAATATAACAGAAAGTCATAAGCATGCAAAACTAGAAGAAAAACAGGAAATGTGTTACTTCTACAATGGCTTTCCCTGCCCGAGTGTATTAACCAATGCTTTAGCTTGTAAAAATGCATGTAAGTACAGGATATTGGGTTGCTGCAAAGTATTGTGACAATTGCTCGACTGCTACAAACACAAGACTCAAAAGGTAGAATACATAAATGGTCATCAAATGGTATTGTTTGTTGGTCTCAAATGGTGGTCCACACACACGTCCACCATCTCCTCTGCCAATGACAAAGTCAGCTCACAGACCATGTCATACTTATGAAACATAAAAATGTGAGGTATTTGTGGTTTGCAGAAACATACAATGCCAACATTTCCTTCTGGCAACTAAAATGTAACCAGTAACATTTTGGGGTTTATTCAGTGTCCTGACTTACTGTCCAGCACGGTGACTGAGATGGGTTGTTTCTGCTGGATGGTTTGTGTGTGAGGGAAGCGAGCGTAGCAGATGTAGTCGCTCCTGGTGTCCTCTGGGAGAACGTTGGAAAAGTACAAGTCTCCATTCAGAGCTTGGGACACTCGTTGATCCAGTGGTAGCCTCTGGAAGTCTGGAAAGTGGGGAGAGAAAGAGTTGGACATGAAATTGTCAGTGCAAGCAGCTTGTTTGGTTTAGTTTTACAAGAACTGATCTTACCTGGGGGTTTATGAGGCCTTGTTTTTCCATCAGTTCTCTATGTTCTTTTACAGCGTGTGCAGATATAAACAAATGCGAATGACTCACTGTTATCCATCCAGAAGATGACAGGAGGGGGCAGCCCTGCAGGGGGTCGGCACTGCAGCACCAGGGAGACCCCCGTCTGCACGACGATAGCCTCATTTCTCTCTTTCGACCACAAGGGGGACCCTGCGAGTCACAAACATCAGACAAAGGTTCTCATGGCTTCCCATACCTCACAATAGTATGGATGAATGAATGAACATGGATTCATATTTGCAAAAGTGATGGGCTGGAAACTGGGACTGGGAAACTATTCTAATTTACAAAAACCAATGGAAACAATTGAATATTATCAAAAGTCTTACTGGACTGCCTGATGACAATGCTGTTGGATACGGCAGTGCCGTGCTCGTTGTGAGCCGTACACTGGTACGTCCCCTCGTAGGCCTCGGCCTTTTCCCCGCTGATGTCAATAACCAGAGTCCCTGAGCCGGGCTTCATCAGAACTTTGGAGTCTTTCTCTACGTCGAAGTGGGTCCCATTTCTCGTCCAGGAAAAGCTAGGATCAACAAGAACAATAATTATCACTGTTTTCTAGGCTAGACGCAATGAGGAAACACAAAGGTGGAAATGTCACAGAATTAGCCTGTTTGTTCAGATCATCAAGGTGCATTGTGGGCCATCCATGCCGACTGATTTTAATCACTGATTTCATAGCAGGGAGTTAAGCGCGTTCTAACTTGATTCGGAGGCTGGTGGCAAATCTAAACTGTGTCTAATTCTCTCTGCCAGGTGTGTTTCTCAAGTAGTCTCCATGACAACAGTTGCCATGGTGATTCATATTTCCACACCGCTCCAGGTTAAGTTGTCCTCATAAACAAAGCTGATCTATAATTACCCACAGAGGACTGTAAAAGTGAATGAGAAATCGGTTTGCTCTTGATTTCTGCAACTCTCAGGAAGAATCTTGAGCATGTCATGCAAGGACAGATGAACAAGCATCAGTGGGATGGGAGGAGCGGATTGTCTCACCTGGGATGAGGCTTCCCCTTCGCCTCACAGTGGATGACAATGTTCTCCCGCGGATCAAAGATGTAATCCTTCGGGGACTGTAGCGTGATCGTGGGGGGTTGGGGCACTGGAGAAACATGAATGGAAGCATCGTTCAGACAGCGAAATGTAAACATGACACACTGGGAGGCTTACAGAATCAAGCATATGCATGCAACAAGCATTCACACAATCAAGTGCAACACCATCTGGAGCTGCAAAAAGCTGCCTGACTTGATAACAACTTACCTGTACCATGAACTGACATAAACCAAGCACCACTCCAAAACCAAGCAAGTCACTTCACACAGTAACAGTGTTGAGATAACTGCATGCACATCTAACTAAAAATCCACACAAAAGCAAAATAAGTTAAGTGCAAAAACTCTACAAGTCACAGCAGTGTTTTAGGCAACTTACATCCTTCCAGTACTTTAGCTTTTTGTCCAGCGTGACACGCCGTACCACAGTGATAGAATGTTGAGGAAAGGTGTTAGTTTTTTGCAAGGAGGAAAGAACAGGTTCAGGTGAAAAAGTTGCATGTTCAGGTACTTTTAAGCATTTAACTGAGCCTGTCTGAAGTTTGGTAGAGATGTGCCTTCCCTCTATGGCTTAAGGTTCATCAGGCAGGTTCAATCAATGCAAGAAAAGTAGCTGAAGGCATCATAATGTCACACAGGATGTGCGATATATAAAGAGACAGTTTCTCAGACTGAGTTTCATAACTTAAAGACACAAACTTGAGTGCATGCCGAAACATGCAAAGCTGAAACACATGTAAACCAGTTAAAGCTTTTTGACTGGGCCGTAGACTCTGTAATGTTCATTATGACATAATTACAAAATATGAAAGTGCTGAGTGTAATTTTATTAGTTTCCCATAGAGAATAAAGTGTTGATTCGAGAGGAAAAGTTGGTATATTGGTTGGGACAAAACTTACGATCAAGAGGCACTTCCAGCGCTGACGTCATGTGACCCAAAAGTGTCAATAGTACAGCTCCAAAGCCCGGCACCCACTTCCTGTTCCTGTCCATGGTCTGGTGTGTCACGATGAAAACCTTTTGTCCAGATTCAACGACACGATCAGGGCGGTCAGCGTAGTGATGGAAGGTGGGGTCCACACTGCAGAGAAGAAGGAAAAAACAGATTATTACATGAGACACTTATAGTAGTATTTCAACACTGGACCATGGTCTTTTCATAAGACTGTGCTGTCTAGAAAGTACATGGACGCAAATACTTTTGATATGGGCGCATCATAACCAAACCTTTCATCTTCACTTTTTGAATGCACTGTTTGATCCCAGTATTTTCTAGGGCTGTCGCCTAATAGTCAACCAAACATTAGTCAACCAGAAAGGTCATTAGTTGGCGAGATTTCATTGGTCGCTTAGTCGCAGGGGGAAAAAAAAGTGAAACTGTTCAGAGCTGTGCCTTGTGAAAATAAATCAAAACTGGACCATGTGGGGGTTTAATTTGAAAGGACAGACACAGGAAGTGTCCACACTCAGCAGTCAAACAGGAGTCAGGTTAATTTCCAGGGCTGGTACCTGCGGTTATTCCACAGGCTAGTTA